CAATGACAGTTTACAAATTCAAAATCGGTCTGGAGTCGGTCGATAATGGACGAATACGCTACTGTTTATGTTCGTTCGCGCAGTTTTCGATGAGTCATATCATTCTTAACTTGGACAGAAATGAAATTTGTTACAACGTTGCACTTAATCTTTCATATTTGTTGTTAGTAATTTAAAAGACATTTTGAAACACATACGGAACGATAATAATTTTTAAAAATATAATAACACAAAAATGAAAAGGGAACTCAGGTACATCTATCAAGAGCCACAAATAATCCTTCAAAGAGCCACATGTGGCTCACGAGCCGCAGGTTGGCCACCCCTGATATATAATATGATGGAAATCTGGAGTTACTTTATTAAAACTTTATCTTAAACTTTAAATACTTAAGTGGGTAAAATATTAATTGATGGGATCAATATTTTGAAATTTCTTACATGGAAATAGATTTTATGCACTCATGTGTGGAAATTTTAACACACATCTTATGGTGTAAATGCTGGGACTGGAAAATTTGGACTTCTTATGTGAGAAAAGCCTTTCATGCAAGAACTTCCTAAACGAGTTCTACTGTATATGTAATAAAAGAATTATGATAGTATTAATAAATTATAAAGTATTTTTAACACTTAGTTTTAAAATAAGTATAAAATAAAATAAAAAAATAAAAATGACTCCATGTTTAAGGTCATAACAACACAATAAAAGAGCAACCATCTAGATAAAGACAGACAAAAATTAAATGATGACAAACAAGATAGTCTAGGAGAACATACCCATAAAATAAGTGATTAAAATAGTATGCACAAAGTTTTGGTAAAGCAATTATTATTTTATGCAACCTCACTTGAGCCAGTATAAAGTAAATGATGTAACATGTTAAGCCAGTGTTCTGCAACCTTTTTCTACTCACAGCACACCTATGACTCGACATAACACACCAAAATGTTATTCTCCTCAAAAACGTATGATATGATGCTATTAATAGAATTTCATAATGCCACAAACCTATTATTATTATTATGTTGAGTTTTGTGAGTTACACTCGTTGACACCTATGGCTGTGTACCAGAGTCAAGACATAGTAACTTCAAAATAAGACAAAAATTAAATAAGTATGTCAGTGTGTACCTGTATTCAGGAATTTCCTAACATTATGACATGTATTCAATATAGTGGACTTCTATAGTGTGATGTTATGTGTTTCTATTCAATTTTAATGTTCCCAGGCTTTTGTATAGCGTGTGTAGTATGACATATGTAAAGGAGAGAACAACAGGTACAGTCGACCCCCCTATAATATGGTAGATACGTTCCTGTTTTTATGAATCCAGCTTCTAGGAGTCCAGCCAATCACAGCCAGGCATGTATGCAGTTTACGGACTACAGCTGTTTGAAAGGTTTCTTCCATAAAATTAATCGATTCTAGACTAATTCAACTCAACATTTCCAAAATACGTATAATTTTTTGGGAATAATCCATATAAACTATGCTATAAACAAAAAATTGTAGGATTACTTACCGAGTGTGCACTGTTCGACTACGCTGTTGCTTAAGCTTGTTTTCATCGTGGAGATTGTCATCAAATGGCAGTCACATGTTTCCTGATAAATTATTTTTTTGCAAAAAACTCGCTGAACTTTAGAGACATCATTAATATAAATATCATTTTTATGGACGTTAAATAATAAATGGTTTTTGGTAGGTCCGCTGCTCGTTTAAACTCAATGGTTTGTGCAATCCTGTCACGACAAGAGTCGGCAATGACATTTTACTGAATTATAGGAGTTTTTTTAGCATGTCTGTACGAATACTGTCACAATTTTTTCGCCACGATATAGGAATCCGAACTATAGGAACCCATGTTATAGGGGGGTCGACTGTACAATAAACACCCTATCCTCCACTGATGCCTTATTTCCTGGGCGAGTTCTGCATACTTGCTGATTTTTTCACTGCATGTATTTTGTACATTGTGAGTTTGGAACAGGTATGTCTATAATGTATGTGATTTTATTGTGTTTGTCAATGAGTGAAATGTCTGGTATGTTGTGGTAAATTGTTTTATCTGTGATTTTGGCTGATGTAGTACATTTTGTGCGTGTTATTTTCCAATACTGTCTGTTGAACATATTTATAGTATGGTTTGTGGATGTCTAATAATTTGTGTTTCTTTGCAAGCTCTTGATGTATTTGCTACTTGATTATGTCTATGTAAATTATCTCTCTGTGCCAACAGGCTGCAACCAGAAGTGATGTGTTGTATAGTTTCTGGCATGATATGACATTTTCTGCATGTGACATTTGTGATTGTTGTATCTTTGAGTATGTGTTTTTTGTAGTTTTAATATTTATGACCTGATCTTGTATGGTAATCATGAATCCTTCCATCTCCCCAAAGAGGCATCCCCAAGCTAACCAGTTTGGCACGGTTTTGTCAACAAAATTCTGGGCCAGGTCATAGGGATGTCTGCCATGGAGTGCCTTTCGAGCTCACGATTGCTTAATGGTGTCTATGCTATTTATATGTTGTGTCCATACATTGTGAATGTAAATTTAATGGTGTATTATTTGAGTCTGCTGGAGTTACTGCTTTATGTAACTGTGATGTTTCTTGTTTTTTGTACAAAAACTCTCGCAATGTCTGTATTTGTTTGTAGTGGAGGTTAACTATGTTGATCAGGCCATGTCTGCTATCTTTTTAGGTGGAAGGATTAATCTTTCTATGGCAGATCTAGGATGATTTGTTTATGCTTAGTTAAGTGTTGTTCTAATTTTCATTTGGAGTTGCTTAAGATCTGTATGAGTCCAATGTATAACTCTAAAAGAATAAGTGAGTACTGAGATGACATATGTGTTTATTGCTTTATCATCATCATATTTCATCAGTGAATGAAATACAAGCATAAGAAACACAACTGTGATAAAAACATATATAAATAAAACTTGAAATTAATAGAATATGTAAAAGTTCATTTCACACCTTTCACCTTACGATGGCAAACTGGTTGTGGAACACTGTGTTAAGCAATAGATAAACCTTACAAAGTATTTTCAAAATCTTGTCAAGAAGTGATGCTGTTGACCAAACAAGCACATAATAGTCAACAATGAATTTTGTACTTAAAATTTTTCAAGTTTTAATAATAAAAAATTATTTTTATTGATATAGTTGTTAATGTAATATGGATTTACCAGAAATAATTTTTTAATATACATTATAAACTGAAGTGCCAAAGGTCATGGGATACTGCCTAATATCTTGTCAGACCTCCTTTTGCCTGGCAAAGTGCAGCAACTCGACGTGGCATGGACTCAACAAGTTGTTGAAACTCCCCTGGAGAAATATTGAGCCATGCTGCCTCTATAGCTGTCCATAATTGAGCAGGTGTTGCTGGTGCAGGAGTTTGTGCACGAATGGACCTCTTGATTATGTCCCATACATGTTCGATGGGGTTCATGTCAGGCGATCTAGGTGGCCAAATCATTCGCTGGAATTGTCCAGAATGTTCCCCAAGCCATTCTTGTACGGTTATGGCCTGGTGACATGGTGCATTATCATCCATAAAGATGCCATCCTTGTTTGGGTACATGAAGTCCATGAATGGCTGCATGTAGTCTTCAAGTAGCTGGACATAACCATTTCCTGTCATTGTTTGGTTCAGTTGGACCAGAAGACACAGTCCATGCCATGTAAACACATCTCCCATCATTATGGAGCCACCACCAGTTTACAGAGTGCTTTGTTGACAACTTGGGTCCATGGCTTTGTGGGGTCTGCACCACATTCAAACCCTACCATCAGCTCTTATCAACTGAAATCGTGACTCATTGGACCACGCCACAGTTTTCCAGTCGTCTAGGGTCCAACCGATATGGTCACAAGCCCAGGCAAGGCGCTGCATGCAATGTTGTGCTGTTAGTAAAGGCACTCAAGTTGGTCTTTTGCTGCCATAGCCCATTAACGTCAAATTTTGCTGCACTGTCCTAATGGACACATCCCTCGTATGTCCCACATTGATTCCTGTGGTTATTTCACGGAGTGTTGCATGTCTGTTCACACTAACAATTCTATGCACACGTCACCGGTCTCTGTCATTCAGTGCAGGCAGTCAGCCACTGCACTGTCCATGGTGGGAGGTTATGCCTGCAATTAGGTATTCTCTGCACACTCTTGACACTGTGGACCTTGGAATGTTGAATTCCCTAACGATTTTCGAAATGGAATGTAATGTAAAACTTATTTTTGTCAAATACCAATATATTTTTTCATAAGATACTTATACTAACAACACTTTTTGATAAAATATTTAAAAAATAATAATAATTAAACCAAATTAATTATTAAATTTATTATTTATAAAAATACCAAAAAAATAATTTTCTTTTATACATCACATACATCATCTTATTTTGCCAAGGAAAATCTTTAATAATCACAAATGTTTTTGGTTTGTTTCTTTTATAAAATAATTTTATCAAATTAACATATTAAATCTTTAAATAATCATACAGAACTGCTGCCAAAATCACATATGATAAAAGCACGTACACTAAAAAAAGTTCAACAATTCTTTGTAATCAATACTAGTGTCAGTGAACCGAAATAACGATTCAATATTCTAACAAATATATAATGGAAAAAAAAAGCAATCAATAATTAAAGAACAGCATTCAACATGAAACTATAATAATAATAATAATAATAAACAAAAAATTTCTTGATAATTTCAGCTGATTCTTGGTGATATTAAATAGATTATTTAAAATAACTTAAGAATAAACTATATTAAAATAAATCCCACTATCACCAATTAAACAAAATATTAAAAAAAATATCTTTAATACAAAAGTTAATTTTTTTAATAAATTAGAGAAATAAAAATTTATAGTTTGTTTCCAAAATTGTTATTCTAAATGTATTTTAAATATTAAAACTTCAGATTAGATTTTAATTAGATTTAAAATTAATTACATTTATTTTACAATACATACCATATCCCGATGATCAAGTTTTACACCATTTTCAATTAATTTAATAATAATATCAGTATGTCCTTCTTTAGCAGCATATAGTAAGGCTGACCAGTTATCCTTAGAATATATTAAACAGATATTAATTATTATTTGTTTTCAATTGAATATCCTTCTATACTTTAAAAAATGTTTATAATTGTTTAAAGTAGATTATAGATTATCTTTATTTTTAATTTAAAAAATTGTAATTCAGTTAATAGTAAAAATCATCCTTCATTGTGGTTCTGACATTATTCAAACCATACATCATCATATTAATATGTAGCTAACAAGAAAATTTATTTTACTAATAATTTATTTTAATTATATTCAGATATATTGATAAGAATGAAAACTGATTATCTTATTAGCATGTAATATTTTATTAAAGAATCATTTTTAAGAATATAATTTTAATGGATTTATAATGTAAATATTAATGTTATGAATTTATCAGTTATCTTATTCTAACGTTAAAAATTATATGGATATTACAAATTATATGCCCAAATTATTTTGAGGAAAGTAATATTATGCACTTGATAAAATAATAAAAAATTTATAATGTAATAAAATTAATATTTGAATACTAAAGTAACACCTATATTTTTGAACAAATTTTTATGTGATATAAAAATTAATGATTTTAAAAAATATTTTATTAATTTAAAAAAAAAAAAATGAAAGTACTTACTTCATCTTCAGCATCAACATTTGCTCCCTGAAGCAACAGTTCTTCAACAATATTAAGATGTCCAATTTGAGCAGCATACATTAAGAAAGTTTGTCCATTCTTAAAATAAAATTGGCAAACTTGTTAAAAATATTTTATAAGTAAAAAAAGTTTAATACTTAAATGGAAAATTGAAGAAAACGGAAAACACACCTCATCTCCTTCGTTAATATCTACATCTCTTTGTTCCAATAGGATCCTTAAATCATCGGCATTTCCTTCTGTTATTAAAGTTGTTATGGCATGATACGTAAGCGGTGGTATTTTGCTCATGATATCTTTAATACACGAAAGAATAAACATTTTTTGTAAACAACTATTTTATATGAAAAAATTAAAAATATATACATGATGTGATATTTATCAATTACACTAAAATTGAGTTTGAGATACATTTAACATTACTTAAATTATATTGTACAACAGTATATTTTTTGAACAAATTTTTGGTTGATATATAAATTAATAATTTTTAAAATATTTGATTAATTTAATATTATAGTATTAACTTCATCTTCAGCATTAACATTTACTCCTTGCAGCAACAGTTCAATAATATTAAGATGTAAATCAGAGATTTTATATGTAACATAAAATTTGGGATTTAAACATTTAATGAATATAAATTTATAAATACATTATTATGTTTAATTGAAATGTGACATATTTTATTTATAACAGTTCAGTGTATTTTCAAACAACATAAATCATTTAAAAATATATATTTAAATATTTATAAAGCTGATATTATAATAAACATTTTAGATTATGTCCATCTGGTTACAGTATACATAACTGAAAAAATATCAATGAAAATTTTTGTTATGATTAAATATTTATGATATTAAAATGTATTTAGTACAGAAATAAACTACTGTATATAAACATCTATATAATGAATAAACAAATTCTACGACTACGACTAAAATGCATTGAAATACAGGGTGGGGCAAATAAAAGTGGCCCGGACGAGTGGATATGATTAGCTTTGATCCACCTTCAGCAACTTGCTGACCAGGGCACAAAGGTTCCAAGAGATTAATGGTGATCACTTTCAACATCTGCTATAGTCAGGCTAGTACTGTATTTCCTTTCCTCTGCTCTGTTTCTTTGTACCCTGGAACATGGTTCTCTGGGCCACTTTTATTTGCCCCATCCTGTAGTATCATCATCATGCATGCAAACAATTATAATATTTCATACAATTATTATTCATAAAAAACATTATTTTCTATAAAAATCTTCACATTTTTAACTAGAAAAATTATTTCATAAAAGAATACCAAATTCAAGACACAATTGATAAATTCTTGATAAATTCAAATAAAATTTATATGTATATTACATAAGATGGGAGAATTTTAAGTAAACTTAAATATATTTTCAGTTGTCTGCTTAAAATAAATAGTAAATAAAAAGTGCTAAGAATCTTTATTGAATTTCAGAAGATGTAAGCAATAAATATTGCCAATGAACATCATATAATTAATAAAAACACAGAGGGAGAAAAATCATTAATTACATTTATTCTTAAGAGAATTAATGTAATTAAATGTAATGTAAATATATTTTATTAGAAAGAGTTTAATATATTAAAATGATAATTGGCTGTAACAGTATTTATTGAAATGAAACAAAAATGTTTCATTTCAATAAACACCACCATAGCAAATATAATAAAGTGCAGAATTCACAGAACATTTTGTTATAAAATTTCCTTATTTCAACACTTATCAAAATGATATTTTACCATCAAAAAGCAGATCAACAGAGATGAATGCAAACATTTGATTTCTGCAAGATGCATATTCAATAGTTACTAATAATGACGATCATCATCAGTAATTATAATTATTTTTTTACAAATTGTATCTGAATGTATCAATCATTTAATCATATTTATAAAATGATAACCATAAATTAACATCATAAAAATTATTTTAACAATATAAAAAAATAATCATACCTCAACACCAAGAATTCTGAATCACAAAAAGCAAAACTATTTGATACATAAGTCTTCAATGAGGTCCAATCATCTACATATATAAAATAAATATTGTTTTATTTATAAAAATTGCACATCTATCTACACATATAATAATTAAATCACAAATTTTTATTAAAATAAAAATTTGTAAACTATAAAAAACTATAAAAATTTATATATTTTTGTTTTAGCACGTTATGAATATAAATAAACTTATTTAAAGATCATAAAGTGACCATTACCAATATATAATGTAGAAGAATATAGCATATAGTTTGATAAAAAGAAAGCATTCAGCCAATGTCTTCTCCATTATAAATCAGACTACATTAAGTCATAAGAGTCAACAGCCTTTACAATGTCTTATTACTCTGTAAACACTTATTCTAATTTATTTTTTAACTTTATATAGTAAAACCTGTCTAAATGGGAATGTGACAGTTTCAGCCATAATTTTTTAATTTTGGAAAGTTTCCATTTTATTGAGGTTATATTTTTATTAATGAAGGAAAAAAAAAAGTAAAATTAAAAACGTTGCTACCATACTTATATTTAGAACTGCTTCTCTTCCAATGTAAGTGTTTTATGTTTCAATGGCATGTTATAAACATCAAAATATATAAGGAAGGCATAGAGAAAAAAAATCTGTAAAAAACCTATTACCCATAAAATATGTTTTGGTTACCTTATTCTCAAGGACATAATACTTGCTAATCAAGATTTAATAAATAACAAAACAAATTTAACACCTTCCTGCCCAGTAAATATTTTATTCAATACAAGACTAATATTTTTTACTTACTATGAGATGATATAATTCGGATAAGAGAACTTTTAAGAGCAAGAAATTCTTAAATCTGCTAGTAAGAGAAGATCAATTATAAAGATGCAGAAACTGTTTCAATAGTTTAGAGAATCCTTTATAATCCCCAATAAGAATATGGAAACATTCAGGCTTTTCTTTTGTGATTAGTATGGTATAAATGACTATAATATTATATATTTATTTTATGTTTAAATGTTTAATAATATTCTTACTTATTTTATTTTTTAAAAAGTAAATGCTATGCATTAATTCTTTTTATCTATATGTATTGATAATGTTAACTTTCAGTAATACCAACTATAAAGTTTGAATATTTAATCAGTTTGAAATTTTAAACGTAAAATGTTCCAAAGAGCATTCCTGTTGATAGAATTTAATCCACCAAATGCCGGAAAGTTTGATTCTGGAACATTTGGCTTCCAAATTTTATTATTATTAGATGTACAGTACTGCATAAAGGTTTGTACCTAATTCTAAGCAATCAGCACGAGCAAAAGTTGAGCACTGCTATCAAGGTCAGTTCTACCTGTTATCAAAGTGCTTTGAAATGAACTGTTTTGTTCTGTAACATGTCGAGTGAGGAAAATGATCGACAGGGACATCTTTTAGGTCTCTCTGCCAACAATACAATAGCAAGTAGCATTGCTACTCACTATTATAGCCTTGCAAGTGTCACTCATGCAATGCGACAAGCACAAACTAGAGTGCTTTATTGTAAGATTGTGAAATTATGGCCATTGCATACTGGAAACTACAATTTTATCTTTTATTTACATAATTTTTTTCCTTCTCGGGATTCCTGTTTATTCTTTTGAAATTTGAACAGATAAAGGAAGAAATAAACATATGAAATGTCCTTCCCTGTAAATTACAGAAATTGCAGTAATCAAATTAAGTTTAACTATTTCATTTATGAAACATACAAAGTATAGTAAAAGGATGAGGCAGAAATATGCATAAATTTTCATGAATTTTAGCAGTTTCACCAATAAATAACTGACCTTCGTTGCATATGCTCAACTTCTTCTCGCTTAGAATTAGTTACAAACTTTTATGCAGCAAACAGTACAACCCAAGGAAAACTCTTGTAGTAGGTCAAAAACATTAGTTTTGTATTGAATAATGTATTTGCTGGACATGAAGTGATTAACTTTGCTTTGTAACTTAAGGTTCCAGTTTGTTTATATTCTAAATTTAATGAATTAACTATAAAGTTAAACTAGTATATAACTTTTCAATTTTTACTCAAAAATTACTCATTGTGTCTATAGAAATAATTACTCTTAAATATTAATTTTTGTTATTCCTCGTGTTCTAAAACAAAACTGAATTTTAAATAGTTCTCAGAATTTTGCTATCTGGCAAAATTCTGAGAACTATTTAAAATTTTTTTCTTCTTTAGTTTAGTTGCTTCTTTTGTCTAGTTAATATGGCAAAAGTAGAAGTGTTTAATCCTAAAACATTTTTCCAAAATCATTCAATAACTTAGTTTTGAAAAAATAGAAATGAATTGAATTAATTTTAGTTTTTAGTCTCTCTCCAAAAATAGTATAGCTTATATTTCTTAACTATTCATTTCTTCCAGGGAATAAGTTAACACATCTAAAGAGCTAGTTAGAAACAGTGGAACAGCTACTTAGCTGACAATAGAAGTACAACCTTAACAAAGAAAAAAAAATGATAGATTGTAACTCCTGTCACTGAGAAACTGACCATAATACAAGTCTGTAGAATGCAGCACTACAAGTCAAAGTTAGAGTGAAAATTTTTAATCATTTAATGCTATTACATATTGAAATTTAAACTAAATGACTTACACCTGAATGCACCTATATTTTTTTATTAGCAATATCTAACATTGATACCATACAAAGCTTATACTTTGCTTATAATTTTCAATTTTATTTTTTACTTCAATTTTCAATATTTTATTTTAATTTTTAAATTATTCTTTTTAACTTTTCAGAATTTTTGACTCAAAATATTAAATTCTTACAACTACTGATATCAAAAGTAAAGTGAACTACACTTTTAATTTTAATAAAGTAAGCTACAGAAAAGAACCATAAATTTATGCTTCAAATGGCATGTCTTTGATAGATTATTATTAACAATAAATGCATACATGTATAACACAATAATTGTGAATAAATAATTGTATTAAAATGACATCATAAAGTAATTGGAAAGAAAAATATTTAAACTAAATTTAGTATCATGTAATAACGCTTTTAAAGTTATGAAAAAAATTATTGCTGTTTTAGAACTTTTTAAACCCATTCATAAATTAAATCTTTAATGAACTAATATGCAATATCATTACTATTTCTGCTACATATAATAACTTGTATATAGTATTATTTTTAGTAGGTCATTCTGATTTATATACCTTATTCAAAACCAAATCATAACAATCTGCATTTACATTGGAAATGAAATACTCATTCTCACTTCTTCATTCTAACAAATCTTATTATATTAAACTGTATATATATAATTTTCACAGAAAAGAATACAATATTAGTATAATATAATATATAAATGTTGCATCCTTTCAGATTAAATCATTAATGAAAGAAGATACTAAAATTGTTCAGACTGATGATATATTAAGATATAGTAATATTGATAAAAACATCTATTAGAAGAAAATGTTACATAATTATCAAGTACAAAGATAACATCAGCAGTTGTTGAAATTAAGAATCTATTGCAGTAATTATAAAAACAAAATAAAAATATTCAAAAATGACCAATTTATTATCAAAGTTGACAACTTTTAAACAAAAAAAAGCATTTAAATTTTCTCTTGGATAAATGGAACAAAAAATATACTAAAGAATTATACAAAGAATTTTGTAATTCTTTATACAAATGAAAGTGTATGCACAAATACCTACACAATGCAATATTAAATTATAAGTACTTAAAACAGATGATGATGATAAATAAATTCAACATTAAATTGCTCACAGAATAAACAAAATAATTTGAAAATATGAATATCCTCGTCTTTTAAGATTTTTTCCAGATATAAATAAAGTAAGAGGAGTGAACAGATTTCAAATAAATATTAAAAATATATATATATATATGGGTTANAATCGTGACTCATTGGACCACGCCACAGTTTTCCAGTCGTCTAGGGTCCAACCGATATGGTCACAAGCCCAGGCAAGGCGCTGCATGCAATGTTGTGCTGTTAGTAAAGGCACTCAAGTTGGTCTTTTGCTGCCATAGCCCATTAACGTCAAATTTCGCTGCACTGTCCTAATGGACACATCCCTCGTATGTCCCACATTGATTCCTGTGGTTATTTCACGGAGTGTTGCATGTCTGTTCACACTAACAATTCTATGCACACGTCACCGGTCTCTGTCATTCAGTGCAGGCAGTCAGCCACTGCACTGTCCATGGTGGGAGGTTATGCCTGCAATTAGGTATTCTCTGCACACTCTTGACACTGTGGACCTTGGAATGTTGAATTCCCTAACGATTTTCGAAATGGAATGTAATGTAAAACTTATTTTTGTCAAATACCAATATATTTTTTCATAAGATACTTATACTAACAACACTTTTTGATAAAATATTTAAAAAATAATAATAATTAAACCAAATTAATTATTAAATTTATTATTTATAAAAATACCAAAAAAATAATTTTCTTTTATACATCACATACATCATCTTATTTTGCCAAGGAAAATCTTTAATAATCACAAATGTTTTTGGTTTGTTTCTTTTATAAAATAATTTTATCAAATTAACATATTAAATCTTTAAATAATCATACAGAACTGCTGCCAAAATCACATATGATAAAAGCACGTACACTAAAAAAAGTTCAACAATTCTTTGTAATCAATACTAGTGTCAGTGAACCGAAATAACGATTCAATATTCTAACAAATATATAATGGAAAAAAAAAGCAATCAATAATTAAAGAACAGCATTCAACCCCTATAATATGGTAGATACGTTCCTGTTTTTATGAATCCAGCTTCTAGGAGTCCAGCCAATCACAGCCAGGCATGTATGCAGTTTACGGACTACAGNGTGTGTTCTACAATTTGATGTCATCAAAAACATTAGCACTGAAAGGCAAAACCTGCCATAATGGCAAATACAGTAAGGAATGGATCACAGCCATGCTATGTTGCAATGCAGATGGCACAAAGAAATTTACACTTATAATTGGCAAGTTTAAATTAAATAAAAAATATAATAATTGGAAAATTTGCCAATCTTTGTTGTGTGAGGGCAACTGCAGTTATCTTGCTCATATGAGTCAAATAAAAACTCTTGGATGACTGCAAAGATATTTTGAGACTGGCCGCTATGCTTTCGAAACAAAATGTCAACACAAAAAGAAAGGTCTTATTGCTAATGGATCAAGTGTTACCCCACAGTATTGAAGGCTTACACCTTCAAAACTGTGAGGCAACACTGAGCATGTGCTATTTTTACCAGCAAGCACTACCAGTATTATCAAGCCCTTAGAACAAGGCATTATTTCACAACTGAAAGTACAGGAAGTGTTTGGTGTGGTACATGCTTGAAGAGATTTCTCAAAGTGTATTGCTGAAGAAATATCTCGGATGCCCTGTGGAATGTTATGGTTGTCTGATAAGAAATTCCAGCTGAAAGCATAAGAAATTGTTTTGCAAAACCAGGTTTTGTTCAATGGTGTGTAGATGCTGGTAACATTGAAAACAACCATTAAAATGAAGTGCCATCTGAATGGGAAGATTAACAAA